AAAAGAGCCAGTGGAAATGACTATATAGGTTTCTGATGACATTCCTAATTACTTTTGCCACTAAGAAGAGGGAAACTTTTAACAACGTAAGCAATTACAATTTGAGCTAGTCACTCTGGCTCTTGACAAACTATCCAAGTCTGACTATTGCTACAAACAATGCCGCTTTTTTTTTTTTCATGCCCATTTCTCAAAGAGAAATATTGCCATCTTATGGCATTCCCAATGAATATTCTTTGAAGTGAGTTTGATCAATGTGAACCGATTTAGAGAGTGGGACAATAATAGCTACTAGAGGGTCACCAAAAAGAGAAGGTGATGTAAGACTGAGCTTTGCAAAAGATTTCTCTTTGGATAAAACAACAGGAAATAAAGTGGCAATGAATTTAATTAAGACTTGATAAACGAGTGCTGCATATATGTGAGATAGAAGAGAGCACAACGTTTTTCCAGTAAGCTAAGAATATGTTTCGGTTCCTTTTTCTTAAATTCATACTGGGTTTTTCCCATTATTGCAATTAAAGTCAAATGTGAAAATTACGCTCTAATCCTAAAGAAGGAATTAGATTTTTTTTTAGGATTTGGAATACAAAAGGCCCTTCCTAGATAAAAACAGCATTGTGTCTCAAGAGGCACCTACAGTACATCAATCCACAGATAATTTGTCTATATTAAAGAGTGCAAGTCAAGTTTGCTTTCCCAAATTTTGCTGCAGAAAATCCAATGCATTTGAAATAGTACCATCCATCACCGCTTCAGATATGCTGTCCTTGAAATAATTTGGACTAGCTGAAACTTGCAGGGGTGGGGTGCATCTCTGTGTTACATTTTTTGAGCCTGGAACTGTATAACAAAATTTAGGAACTCCAACCCAACTGTATTCCAATTTGTGAGACTTATATTCAAAGCTCCACTCAACCACAATATAGAAATTCCACTTTCACATGGATCTTTAAAGCCACGCCTTTAAAATATCGATGAAAATTCAGGTCAGTTAATAAATTGGATCTTCCTCAATGATCTTGAGCACTCACCAGCCTACAGTATACAGTATATGGGATTGATAAAAAAGGAATAGTAGGTAACGTAGTATGAGACCCTTGGAAGAATACAAATGTAGTGAGAACAATTAATCAGTGGGATGGCTTGCCTCCAGAAGTTGTGAGTTTTCAATTTTAATTTTGGCTGTTCACCACCCTGAGTCCCCTCTGGGAGAAGGGCAGTATACAAATTAAATAAATAAATAAATAAATAAATAAATAAATAAATAAATAAATAAATAAATAAATAAATAAATAAATAAGAGACTAGATAGCCATTTGTCCAGAATCAGGAGTGGGTTCTACTTACCTTTACTACTAGTTCGCAGCAGGACCGCGCGCGAGAGTAAAGCAAGAGTGTGTACATGCTCTTCTGCACATGCGCAGAAGCGTTTTGATGACATCTGGGTCAGTGGGCGGAGCCTCCCGCTGGTTTTACTACCGGTTCTATAGAACTGGTCCGAACCGGGGGCAACCCACCACTGGTCCAGAATGCTATGGACTCATACTTGAGAGCAAATGGTTGGACTAGAACAGGGGTTGGCAACCTTAAAAACTCAGAGCCACAAAACCGGAAAACCCCCCGTTCAATTCTGGAGCCAACCGGAAGTCTGGTTCCCCCCACCATAGTATCTTCTCCTAGTGTAGCGTCCTTTTTCCTCTACCTATCCTAACTGAAAGCCCTATCAATTGTGGAGCTGACTGGCGTCAGGGAGCCACATCAGAGGGATGAAAGAGCCACATGCGGCTCCAGAGCCGCAAGTTGCTGATCCCCAGACTAGAAAAAGACTGTCAGGCCTGGAAGCCATCTTTTTCATTGGATCTTCAGGCCTGCCACATTTACTACTACTGTGGGAAACTGGGTGGGGGGATTGTATGGAGCCAAGATGATATATAGTCATAATAACATTCCTTTCTCAGAAAGTCAAGGACATCTTGCCCTGCACCTGGAAGGCTGGATTTGGGAGGCATCTCCAGTTGGGATGGTGCTTGGATTGGACCATGTGATGGACTTGTGGGTGTTGGACAGGGACTTGGACTTTCCTTTGGATGGGAAAAACCTGGAAGCTCTCAGATTCGGGTTTTCCCAGATGTGCCAATATGACATCTCTAATAAAATGGAACTTTGAGGAAACTCAAGCCTTGGAGTTTTCTTTCGTTGGGGGTCTTACGTGGAACCCTGACATTAACCCGAATCTGACAAAGACCTCCAAGGTCCCCACTAGCTCTATCATTCTGTATTCATTTGTTGTATAAAATAAGCTTCATATTTTAACTTTCATCCCGTCCTAGTTTTAGCAACCTTCAATTCTCAGTCTTATCTGAGCACCTTCCATTCATATAAACTTTCTGATTGTTTTTCTCATCGACTATTCCTAATTTCATAGCACTGAGAATTTAGTTTTCCCCATTGACATCAGTAATACTTCAACCAATATATTTTTTTTTGTTGTAGATAACCTTTATACGTTGCAGCAGGTTCCTTCCCGCTTTCATCCTGAATAAAGTTCACAAAGAGATGACGAGCTCAGATCCTAAAATTCTTCTGCTTCTTTAAAAAAAAATAAAAATCCTATGGATTTTTCAAAATAAAATAAGAAAGGGTCAGAGGAATTGAATCTCATTTGGGAAAATGCCTTTATCATATCATAAGCCAAAACCAACCAACAAACCACAATCTGAACGCCCTTCTAGATAAACATTTACAGGTTCTGCAACCGATCCAGAATACCAATAACCAAAACCCCACAAGACTAACTTCCGTATTTTTCTTATTTAAAATATAAGATGAAAATGAACAGCGGGCAGCCAGAATCACCACATATTGATTAAGAGTGGCTGAACAATTTTTCAGCATCTAACTAAATCAGCGTGAAAAGGGTAATTGTTTCGAAAAAGAATTACCCCCAATTCTCACACCGTCTTACATTAAATTTTGCTGCCCTTAGAAGGAACTTGCCCAATTTCTCATACATATTAGCATTATGCCGTCAACAGAAGCTTCCCATTACAATTTGCTCCTACTTTGGGCGGCCTTTTGACAAAGCCATGGATAGATGTATGGCATAATCATACCTCTTAGGAAAACAATGTCCCGAAAATGTCTAATTTAAATAACTATCTTGGGTTTTTCTCTATTGTAGTGTTCTCAGTCTTAGCAACTTGAAGACAGGTGGACTTCAACTTCCAGAATTCCCCATCCAGCATTCACTCAATTGTCAAATCCACAGAGGGAATATTGTTGGGTCCCTTCTAACTCTGTTATTCTATTCTATTCTAAGTGATATTCAGTTGTATCAACCTTCCCAATCCATGCCAAATGCATAGTCTATGGGTTAAAGAAATGTTGGCTCTCTGTAAATGCTCCAAATTTGTAATTTCAGTAAACTCCAGCAGCATGGCTCAAAGGAGAGAGATGCTGAAGTGATGGTACATCACAGAACCGTCACATAACTTCATCTCTGTTCCACAGATAGGGCACAGAACATTGCCATGAACCAGAGGTGGGCTTCAGCAGGTTCTGACCAGTTCTGGAGAAACGGTAGCGGACATTCTGAGTAGTTCAGAGAACTGGTAAGTACCACCTCTGGCTGGCCCTGCCCCTATCAATTCTCTGCCTCACGAGTCCCAGCTGATCGGGAGGAAATGGGGATTTTGTAGTAACCTTCCCCTGCCATGCCTACCAAGCCATACCTACAGAACCGGTAGTAAAAAATTTGAAACCCACCACTGCCATGAACACATACAACATATATCTATGGAAATTCTCAGTGATCCAGGTCATGGTTGTCCCAAAGGTGCTTTTTCAAAAGGCAACTGGACATTCTTTGTTTTTCCTTGAAGATGTTTTGCTTCTCATCCAAGAAACTTCCTCAGAACGTACAACACATGTTAAAATTACACATCTATAAGGATACATCACAGCACTAAAGTTAACACACCGTTCTAATAAACAGAACTGGTTGTTCTGGATCCCACAACAACAGAGGACACCCCATCCAAAATATAGACCAGTATTGATCATTACAAATCACCAGTTCAACTATAATCCGTGCAATATTTCATTTATGTTCCCTGAGACACGGCTTTCAATGAACAAACATAAATAAATGTTTACATTTACCAGATGCAGCGATAAAGAAGGGGGGAAAAATGGAGTCTGAAATGAGTTTTCTGCCCTTCCAAGGTTTCCTGGCAGTTTTTAAGGAGCCTTGATTATGACATGTTGCAGATCAGAGGTGGGTTTCAGCAGGTTCTGACCAGCTCTGGAGAACCGGTAGTGGAAATTTTGAGTAGTTTGGAGAATTGGTAGTAAAAATGCTGACTGGCCCTGCCCCCATCTATTCTCTGCCTCCTGAGTCTCAGCTGATGAGGAAGAAATGGGGATTTTGCAGTATCCTTCCCCTGAATTGGGGAGGGAATGGAGATTTTACAGTATCTTTCCCCTGCCATGCCCACCAAGCCATGCCAGGCCCACCAAGCCATGCCCATAGAACCGGTAGTGAAAAAATTTGAAACCCACCACTGTTGCAGATGTTTTAAAAACTGTTCAGTCACATTTACTTTTTACCTCTAGGGCAGGGATCAAAACTAGGAAGATTTAGCAAGCTCCAGGGGACTGAAATGCAACTACTTTTGATTGATAGATGACAAGCTGGGTGAGTCAATCCTATCCAAATATACATTAAATTAAAAAGTAGATACCCTTGAAACACTTGTAACATCAGTTCCTGGCCAAGTTGATTAATTTGTACCAGTGATTTTGCTCACAAACTCACAGACAAATAAAAAAATTCTCCACTAGATAATCATTAATCCCTAAAGCATTTTTTTTCCTTTAAGCTTTTGCCTTTTTAAGAAATAATACTCTGCTTTTTTTTAAAAAAAAAAAAACAGGTTACAATTTTATTGTTTTATTATATCTAATGTCAAAGATAAATATAGAATGCCGTACCTGTGTCTGAATGTCAAGAGGAACTCCAGAATCTTCATCAGATCAAGGTGCACAGATAGTTTCTACAACTGAAGTTAATTTGCAAGAACCTATTAAAAATAACCAGAATTGGTGCCAGGAATAATGACACCATTTTCTCCCTAACTTCAATGATATTTTTTTTAAAAGAAACATTTTAATGCTTTCTGCTTTCAAAAGAGAAAATGGTATTTTTACTTTGGAATTCCATAATATTGTAGGTAGGAGCACTTAGCACTGATTTGTTTTTGTCTATTTTAGGACAAATGAGTAGAGTAGAGTAGAGTAGAGTAGAGTAGAGTAGAGTAGAGTAGAGTAGAGTAGAGTAGGGTAGGGTAGGGTAGGGTAGAATAGAATAGAATAGAATAGAATAGAATAGAATAGAATAGAATAGAATAGAATAGAATAGAATAGAATAACAGAGTTGGAAGGGACCTTGGAGGTCTTCTAGTCCAACCCCCTGCTTAGGCAGGAAACTCTACACCACTTCAGACAAATGGTTATCTAACTTCTTAATAATTTCCAATGTTGGAGCATTCACAACTTCTGCAGGCAAATTGTTCCACTGATGAATTGTTCTCACTGTCAGGGAATTTCTCCTTAGTTCTAAGTTGCTTCTCTCCTTGATTAGTTTCCACTCACAGCTTCTTGTCCTGCCCTCAGGTGTTTTGGATAATAGCTTGACTCCCTCCCAAGCCCCTGATAGGGAAGGACAGAATTTAAAAGGCATACTGGCATCCTTTGAATTATTATAACTATTACCTCCTCCTCCTCCTCGTGAGAGATGGGCCCAGAATAGACTTCAACAACAGATCTCCGCTCTGTCAGAGAGAAGGAAGGACTGCGCCCTGACATTAGCCCCTTCTCTTCACTGCACCATAACAATCACATTCCATTTCTTTTCATTCTGCATGAATAGCTGTACCCAATTTTCTTACTGGAACCCTGATGCAAAAGTCGATCTAAGACAAAATGCACTACATTCTGCCATTTTCAAACGTACCCCCCCACCCCCCGGTCTCGCCGGGGAGTCTTGCTTTGCCTTCCACAATACCTCCAGTAACCAATTGTTCATTTAGTCACCAGAAACAGTACAGAAGACTCAGTCAATCTCAGGTTGGGAGCTATTTATATATATATATAAAATATTTTTCCCCCAAGGAATGGAGGGAGGGAGGGAGCATTGCAAGTATTTCTATTAATAATTCCTGGTGATTCTTGTGAGGTTTGTCAGCACCCCAAAAGGCAAGATTACAGAAATATCTTGTGTGTGGGTAGTGTATACAACCATACACACAGATACACACAGAGGCAGGCACATCTGCAAAAAGAAAGCCGGTCAATTATTGGTATTTGAGGAGAAAACAGCAGAGAAATGAAAAGCTATCTTCAAAGAAGGTAAACATCAAGAATAATTTGCAAAATATGGTTTTGAAACCTTCAGAGGAAGAGAAATAATTATTCTCCGAAACTAGTTGCCCATTTATTTTTCAACTCTTTTCACACATCTTGACTTGCAGTGAGACTCATAAAGCATTGTTTTCTGTTTTGATTAGATGATAGATAGATAGATAGATAGATAGATAGATAGATAGATAGATATAGATATAGATAAAATCATAAAAGGGACGTGGTGGCTCAGTGGCTAAGACACTGAGCTTGTCGATCAGTTCAGCGGTTCGAATCCCTAGCACTGCGTAATGGGGTGAGCTCCCATTACTTGTCCGAGTTTCTGCCAACCTAGCAGTTCGAAAGCATGTAAAAAATGCAAGTAGAAAAATAGGGACCACCTTTGGTAGGAAGGTAACAGCGCTCCATGCGCCTTCGGCATTTAGTCCAGTGGTGGGTTCCTCCCGGTTCTATAGAACCAGTAGTAAAACCGGCGGGAGGCTCCGCCCACCTGGCACGACATCATCATTGGTGATCTGTGCATGTGCGTGTGGTCCCGCTGCAAATCGGTAGTAAAGGTAAGTGGAACCTTAGTCATGCCGGCCACATGACCATGGAGACATCTTCAGACCGCGCTGGCTCTTCGGTTTAGAAACAGAGATGAGCACCACCCCCTAGAGTCGGGAATGACTAGCAAATATGTGTGAGGGGAACCTTTACCTTTAAGGAGAAATTTCCTGACAGTGAGAACAATTAATCCATGGAACAACTTGCCTCCAGAAGATGTGGTTGTCCAACACTGGAGATTTTTAAGGAAAGATTGGACAACAATTTATCTGAAATGGTTTAGGGCTTCCTACCCAAGCATGGAGCTGGACTAGAAGACCTTCAAGGACCCTTCCAACTCCATTATTCTATTGTTCAGTATTCCAAATGTGGCCTCATCAAAGAGAGTGTTTCTTATTTATTTATTTATTGTTTATTTATTGGTTCAATTTATATGCCGCCCTTCTCCGGAGACTCAGGGCGTCTTACAATGCGTTAAGCAATAGCCTTCATACTTTTGTATATACCTGCTTAGTAGGGCTTTCGCCCCCCCCCCCCAGTGGTGTTCTTTTTTATACAAAGTCAGTTTATTGCCCCCACAATTCGGGTCCTCATTTTACCTACCTTGGGAGAATGGAAGGCTGAGTCAACCTTGAGCCTGGTGAGATTTGAACTCACAGTAATTGCAGGCAGCTGGCAGCTTAACAGCACTTTAGTCCACTGCGCCACCAAGGCTCTTCTATAATAGAATGAGCTTTTTGATCAACATGGTACTCCTCGTTGTTGTTGTTTTAAAATTCCTATCAGTTAATGTCATGGATGGTTTGATGGGGAGGGGGAATCCCTCGTTCTTCAGATATCTTAAAAATACATTTTGCACAAGCCACATGGTTTCTCCACTCATCGTTTGCCCCCTCCAAAGCTACAATATTTATACTTCTGCCATAATATAGAGGCAAGCGTTGACATTCCAGATGTTACTGAAATACCGTTCCAAATATCTCTAGGAAGAGATGCCCAATGGTGATGGAAACTGAGAGCTACAGTCCATTAACATACGGGTTTCCTCTGGCAGCATTTCTCTGCCTGCCTTGACTGATTGATTGATAAACAGATGCATACTGAGACGGGAAGGCAAGTTATTCTACAAATGGGGGGGGGGGGGGGGGGGGGGGGGAAAGGAAGTTTCATGCGATTCCCTCCATTTATTGCTGTCAAATGTTCTCTCTCTTTCATTGAAGTCAATGGTCCAATAAATAGGAGTGCAGATACATGCTCGAAATACTGAAATAACTCTCAATATTGGCTTCCGTTGTCTTGCATGCAAAGCACCCATTCACCTGATCCCCTTCAAATATTAAAACACTCTGAGAATAAAACCACTTCTCGTGAGGTCATGCTCACTTTTCAGAAAACTCTCCCTTCACAAGATTAACTCATCGCAACTATTCTTTTCATTGTAACCCAGAGGATTCAAGGACCAGTCCAAAGAGTCTGACAATTGCACGAATATGGGTAAAATTCAGAGAGGATACAGGAGTAAGCACTACTTCAGGATCAATGCTGCAACCGAAAATACATACCAGTATGGTACTACCTTGGTACTCAATTGGTTTGAAACTCATCGAATGTGGTACTCATGGTACATTTTGATGTGAACATTTTATCCCGGTACTCATTGCATATTTGGGTACTCAATGCACAAGCTAGAACTTGTCGGTGTCGATTGCCTTGTGACTCATTACATTATTCCTTATGGGAAAAATTTGTTTGGTGGAAATGAGGGGTCCTTGGTGCTGTCTGAGCTTGGTTGTTTTCATTACCTAACTAGATAATATCATCAGTTCTGGAAGGGAGTGGAGTTTGCATTCTATTCCTATTCTATTTTCCAATATCTATTCTATTCTATTCTATTCTATTCTATTCTATTCTATTCTATTCTATTCTATTCTATTCTATTCTATTCTATTCTATTCTATTCTCAATTCCTATTCCATTATCCAATATCTATTCTATTCTATTCTATTCTATTCTATTCTATTCTATTCTATTCTATTCTATTCTATTCTAAATTCCCATTCCCATTCCATTCCATTCCATTCCATTCCATTCTCTCTATATATATTAGCAAATCATATTGCATTATATGTTGCATGCTGTTTACCATAATCTAGACATTTTCATGTGCATGTTGCTCTAATACTTGAGATTCATTGCTGTGTTCCTTTAAAAAGCCCAAAACTATATCGCACCACTTCAAATGGCAAAATACAAAATGCAATTTTGTATTTAATGGCTGTCATGGCAGGTCATCCATTGGCATAGACTAACATATCCAAACAAGCTCAGATGAGATCCTTGCAGCGAAAAAGGGCAGCTGCCTGTCAGTAATTCATCTGGTTATATTTTAATTCAAATTTTCATTCTCTCTCCTGGATTCACAGGTCCTCTTTGGTGGGCAGAGATCTTTACCCAGTGGTGGGATTCAATTTTTTTTACTATCGGTTCTATGGGCATGGCTTGGTGGGCGTGGCATGGCTTGGTGGGTGTAGCTTGGTGGGCGTGGCAGGGGAAGGATACTGTAAAATCTCCATTCCCACCCCACTCCTGGGGAAAGGATATTGCAAAATCCCCATTTCCTCCTGATCAGCTGGGACTCGGGAGGCAGAGAATAGATGGGAGCAGGACCAGTCAGAGGTGGTACTTACCAGTTCTCTGAACTACTCAGAATGTCCGCTACCGGTTCTCCAGAACTGGTCAGAACCTGCTGAATACCACCTCTGTCTTTAGCTGATGTGCTCATGTTGCCTTTTTTCTTTCTTTTGGACTTTTTGGACTCTAGGAGTCTCTGGAGGCTGGGGACAGCAAAAAACATCACTTCCTGTCCAACCGAGAGTTGGGAAATGGGCCGTTTCAGGCCTCCGGAGGACCTCCGAGGGGATGGGGAAGGCTGTTTTCACCCTCCCCAGATGCATAGAGAGGATCTGGAGCCAGGTGAGAAAGAAAAACGGGCCTTCCCCCCCTCCCCACCAGGCCCTCCAGAGGAAAGAAACAGCTTGTTTCCCTACTTCTGGTGAGCCCAGAAGGCTCTACATAGTGCTTTCTTTGAAGACAGTGCAGAAGCTCCTAAGTGGCC